GTTCACAACTAAGGTTAGGAGGGTGAGAGAGAGCCGTAGCGTGAGGCGTTACTTACCCATGGCGAGGCAGAGGGAAGGGTTTCCTTCTTAATTCTTGCTTGATTATAGATTGATATATCGACTCTCATTATATAGAGATGTCTAATTTGGCCCCTAAGCAAGCGACTAATTAACCCTAATGGACTAAGGCACTGTTTGGTTGGTATTTTGTGGTGGGTTTGTGGAAAAAAAAAAAAAAGCTGTGTAAATTTGTGAGTTGTGGAAAAAGCTTGCTTTAATTTGTGAAAGTTGTAGAAAAAGCTTGAAAGTTGTTTAGTTAAACAAGTATAAAATATACCTTTTATCTTTATCTCTCTTGAAACAACTATGAAAAAGAGCTTTTTATTCCACTAATTTTGACGAAGCCAAAAGGCAGCGGTCACTATTTCAAAATATATTCTGGGCATTTATACGAGAAAACACTGCTCAAGCAGTCAGTCCTTTGATTGGGCTTTTTGGCTTTTTTTGGGGCCAAAAGCCAAGCCAAAAGCCCAATAAACAGGGGCCTAAGGTCAATAGGCCCTTGACTCCTCTAACAATATCACTCTTCTGATTTGTCGTTCTCTGTTACTATCAGTTGGTGTAGAATGATAACACATGCAAACATAGGCCCTGACAACCCTCCGGAAACAAGCTAGGACAACCAAAAGCGGTGTGCCATCTCCCTTTGAGGTCATAATGAAAGAGATGGAAGGAAACCCTGGCAAGCAGCTGATAAAGGAGATAAACCCGACATGGAATCACGGACCCAAAAAAACATACTTGCTAATGTTTCCTAGACCTGAAGTTTTTGCTCATGTCCCATTTCACGTGGTACACACTGTTCTGGAGAAAGGTATGCTCAGGAATCGTGCCCCACAAGAATCAGTGCATTTAATTTATTAGTGAAACTATTTATATTCAGCCAGTTCCTCAACTGCTTGTACATATGATCAACAACTGCTTATTTCACATTCGGTGCAGACCAAGAACACCTTTGATTTCAGTACCAAGAAACTGCAAAGCTTTGCCAAGGAGAAATCTTGTGATCGCTGAGAAAGCCTGCCCTAGCAGGAAGATTCAGCGCTGACACTGAAATCCTTGGTTAGCCTTTACAGACACACCCTAAGTTGACATGGAAGGAGCAGAAGTGAATTATCAGTTTGGTTGAATCGTAGGTGTCCAACTACAATGTTGTAGGATATCTCCTGTATAGATTGCTTTCGCGTCGAACAAAAATTGGTGTGATTGTTAGCACTAGCAAAAAAATTGTTGCAAATTGATTTTGAGTTGTTGAACAAAATTTTGATTGTATAGTTTTTGAATTATGTTTTCCTATGACATTTAACGTGATAAGTGTATAGTTCCTGATGGAGCATCCTTGATGGCTTAGCTGTAGTTCCTGATGGGGAGTCCTTCATGGGACAATCAGTGTGTAGTTCCTGTTTCAAACTGAAGACAGGTGGCAAACCTTAAGTCTTAGCAACACCAATGTTAGCCTTGCTCACAGTTTGCACGAGAAGTTTGATAACTTGCAGTGTGGGTCAGTGGGTGCAAATCTGCTTACTCAAAATTGTGCAATTGCAGCAGATATGACTCTTCAGCTCAGATAGCTCAGAACAGTGGAGGGCATCCATGTTGTATGAAATAAATAGGCATTATTACCAGCGAAGTCTATTCCCTGTGTGTGATCCAAAGAAGCTCCAGCCGTGGTTCTATTTTATGGGATACTTTACAGTTCAGTTTATTAGTGAATCTCTTAAGGCCGTCGCGAGGGCCGACCATCGGCCCAGCCCCAGCGGGAAAGGAAAGGACAAAGGAGGAGTCGCCGGCGCTGCGCGTCAGTACGCCGGGACGGGGCCAAGCCCAACCTTAGCCGGCTGCCGCTGAGAATGCAGATGCAGCGGAGGTGACTCGGAGGGAAGCGAGGCACAGTCAGCCAGCGTGTCCGCTCATGGGAACCTCCTGCTGGGCGCGCACGTGCATGGTGTGCGGAGGTGGCGGCGGCTCAGGCTGGGCGCGCTCATGCGGCGGGCGGCGACTCGTGCCCGGACCCGGAGCGGAGTGGGATGACACATGACACTGACAGGAAGGCGGAGTAGCGTGCTCCACTGGCAAGAGTCGCACGGGAGAGCTAGGTGCCTCCACAGACCAACGTGGCCTCCGACTGCATGTTATCCTGAAGAGCTACGTCCCTGTCCGTTTCGCTGAATTTGGTTTACGCCGAGAGGAAAACACTATTCGTACGTTGAAAAATATTGGTGAAGAATAGGGCACAGGTAGCAGAACAGGGAGGGCATCACGAAAAATGTGTTGGAGATTCAGATGTCCTGTGGAGTTCAATTTGCTGATTCAACTTTAGTTTTTGCCACATGGATTTCATATCCTAATTTAGACTTTGGAATACTACTTCTATTTATCTGATAATAAAGTTTCCATAGTATAGCCTAATAAAGCTTCTAGCACGCAACCGGTGATGATCAATTTTGTGCTCCATGCCCCGGCTCCACGCAAGGGCAGCTAGCAAAGGGGGCAAGCCAATGATGCAGCACGACTCACGTTCAGTGTCGCTCCATTGAAGCTTGGTCACATTGCAGATTCCACTACCCTATGGCAAGCGATGAAGTAAACACTGATTATATTAGTGTATCTTACTCATACCAGTGTGTCTTAATTCTCATTTAACCTCTCTTTACATTTTGAAATTCTTTTTGTCAGCTTCATTTACCTTCTCTTCTCTACCAACTTCAGTTTAATGCAGTCCATAACCAGAACAGAAAGTGATCTCTGAGGTGTCTGATGATGAATAGAGAGAATAAATGGTTGTAAAGAAATACAGATTAGTTGAGTCGTGTTACAGTTCAGTTCTAAGCAATATGCTAACTCAGGGCATTTTCTTTCCTTTTTTTACTGTTCATCAGGATAGCTTTCAACTCTATAGGCTGTTCAGGTTTCTTTATACAACAAATTATTACTTTTAGAGCTTCTTGCATTGCTAAGGTGAAGTCAATGGGGTCCCTTAATAATCACACTATCTGTGGTTACTTTGTTGGATGTATACATTATCTTTGTTTCAAGTGAAAATAATTTATTGTTGCTGTTTTTTTTTCATACACAACTGGATCGAGATCCATCCTATGGTACGTAATCAGTAGAAAATTCAGTTTTTGTAGATGAAGCCTTTGTTTTATAGATATTAGGTAATTACACTTGAAGAATTAGTCAATTATATAACAAAACAAATATCATTTCTTATACCTGATGTTCAAATTTATTTGATGGTATAAATATCAATTGTGGCAAACTATTAGGTGGATTTCTTTATTTTTACTTCTTATTAGTGCATCATAAAGGCAGTGCATGTTATTATAGTGCTTTAGCTTGACCACTTGTTTGAAAAAAAAAGTGCTACAAACTACATATTTGAAAGCCAAACTCTGAAACTCATATGCAGCTAATGAAGTGATGCAGCATTGTACTTACTGATTTCAATGCTTTTAACTATTGCTGCAATTCTCAACGTGACTTCTACCGGCTAAACTATCACATTCAAATAATTTTAGGCATGCAAAAAAGGTCACAAGCTAGATATTAAACATATAAGACCAGTAATTATGTCCTGATCTGATACCATTCAGGAACTCTACCTGCGTGACACATGACTACCTACAGCAAAGAGACTAGATCTATATCTAGAATGAATATATCTACTTTATCTCTTGGCATCCACAGACAAAAACACACACACGAAAGGACAAGAAATGGGATAACAAGGGCCCAAGAAATCAAAGAAGCCCACGGCGGCAGCATTGTGACACAAGGTTCTCGCCCTGTTCGTTTGGGCTTGTTTGGCTGATAAGTCATGGCTGAAAGTACTGTTGACTAATTTGGTGTGAGAGAAAAATACTATTCGTTGACTGAAAAAATACGGCTTATAAGCCAAATAAGCCCAAACGAACAAGCCGTCTTTTGAGTAGAAGGCAGCTCGAGCTCAAGTACTTACGTCCTCCTACACACCTTCCCAACGATATCCTGTCAGAGGCCAATCTGCTGCAGAGCGGATACCTCTTCATCATACCTGTGGCATTTATATAATGTTTACTTGGAAACACAAAAATACATACAGTATATGCAGCGCAGGTGAACCATTATACAGGACCATTCAGTTGTCAGATCAAAACCAATCTAGACGAAGCCAAGGACCAGTCAGTTGTCAGACCAAAACCATATATCCAAGCAGGAAACGAAGATACGAAGACCCCATAAAGCCACGAACATGCTTCGGTCTTTTGCATCCAGAATCCTCTGGAAGTGCATACGTACTCCTCTGGAATGAAGTGCTTTCGCAAGGGAACCAAACGAAGAAGATCGATATAGTAAGTGTGTGATTGCTACCCCTGGCAAAGGTCTCCTGCCCGAAGGATCCGAGGAGAGGGTACAGGTTAGGTCAAACCCCATCAGAGACTCCTAACACAGCCAGGTGCCTCTTTTGGCCATTCCTCCATCGGATGTGGCCACCAGCACTAGTTTGACAACTCTGCAATTCAAGACCTGATGCAGGCCTGCCAATGCCACGATCGTAAACAAGTTAGAAAATATATTGCAACCTTTATCACTGCAAGTGTTTTTTAAGCCATCTGATGCCTTTCTGTACACTCTTTTTTCATGTGATTCGGGAGTAACTTCTAATCAAATCAGGCATGGCCAAACATTGCAGAGGAAACACTTGAATAATCCAAGGCAAGCTTGGGGAGCATAGAAATTATGCTTTGCTATCGTAGGTACAAAATGACTTACACTGCAAACTATGCCGTGGAATATGATTTTTAAAACATTGCAGCTGTAAATTGACTGAAACTACCATGTCTCTGTACTGAAATATCTACACTTACGTGGACATTACTTCCACAGCTACAACTGTATAAAACCTTAGAAATTTTACTGGAAAATAGAGAGAAGAAAATTTATACCAGATAAGTTTCTTAGGTCTGTTCTTTTGCAGAAAGCTCCAGAAGATACTCTGCCTCCCTCAGGAACAACCTTGCCAGCTGCTTTTGCCCTCTTCGGTACACTATACATGAACGGTAATTTATTTTTGACTTCTTTTTGTGCTTCTCATCACTTTCACTGCGAGAATAAAGAAAATGGTTTGCATATCATTACGATAAAACATGAGGTTGATAAACAAAAGACGTGCTCTAAAATATGTTAGCTCCATGCACATCTTGGATATTGGGGCTATTCATGTTGTATCCTAAAATAACCATTTTCAATAGTGCCCCATAGTACATTGCAGGAAATAAGTATAGTACCATGCATGGATGTGAATTTAAGATAAGGAAAATAAACAAAAAAAAACTCTTGAGAAAAGCCAAAATTGATCTGCCACCCTCGTGTAGTCTTCTGACTGAATGGAATCAACCTGCTCAAGCAGTTCAGTGTCAGATGCTTCTGTTCCAGAGCCCTCTTCAAGTTCAGCCATTCTTGCAAAATGGATGGAGGATGATCTATGAGTTATTCTTGATGCTATACCAAAGACGGCTATATGATCCAAAATACATCAATAGGAAGATAAAAGTGATTACTTGACCCCAAGAAGATCCACAAGCAAACCCAGTGCACCCTGATCACCGCAGACCTCCCAAATAGCACTTTGGATCTCTGCATCAGATATTTCTCTATCTTCACTAGATCCAACCTAGCAAGAACAAATTCAGCAAAGGCCCTAGAATCAATTTGTAGCATAATACTTTCAAGTTTAGATGCATTGCATCCAAATAAATTTTTGAGCACTTCAAATATATAAGTAGTCATCAGTTGTCAAATAGGCCACATAGAATAATGCTGAAAACAAAAGTTAATCTTCATCTAAATTCTGACGTTAGATCAGGAAATGAAATTTGAGATCACAATTGCTTCATGAATACTTTTTTAAGGCATGCATAGCCAGTAAAGCTCCTATTCATGAATGCAGCATTCATGACATGGATCATGGATGTGATGCCAAAACTAGTGCCTCCATGCAAGCGACATGAAATAACTATCATCTGGCGCTGCTGAAAAAACAGGGGCATATGCAGCAAATTATGTAGCTGCACACATTACAAGAGTGTGAAAGCACCCTGCTAGTTAGTTTTAAGATTTTGAAACCTAAGGACTCCAAGTTGAGTCATAGGAGGAGGATGTCAAGCTAACAAAGCATGCCTAAATCACGCTACATGGAATTCTGCCATTTTGGTACAATAGATGGCTAAGAAAAGATTCTTACGTGCACAGTCACGAGTCTCCTACTCCTTTTCAGTATACAGTTATCAACAGATCAATTCAGACGTAGCGAAGCAAGCGCTGATCACTGCGTCTCCAGAAAATGTAGTATGACGCCTTAAGAATAAAGTCAAAATCTAAATCATGAGATTATAGCCTCAGGAGTCAACTCTTGGCTTAAAATACACCGTAAAAGTGCTAACCTCTCCAAGTAAAGAAGCAACTTGTTCAAGCTCATGTTCTTGCATGGCAATCGTCCAGAGAGTACTCATAAATTCCTGAGGGAAAACATTTTGTGAAGATATGATGGAACTTTGCGTTGACCACTCCAACTAAAACTTGAAAATGGACTAGTATTTTTCTTGCTATCCTTATCTTCACTGGAACAGATACCAAAAATACATTATCAAGCAATCTTCTGGGTAGGAGACATCTCAATTAAGCCCTTCTGCAAAATACAGAAGACATACAAAGTGAGATTCATGGAGGTATTGAATGCTTAGAGGGCTTGATCTGGTTAGTGCAGTCATCATAATCTTGAGCTGTCCTGATCGGGACAAATTTTGAAATCTTTGTACAAATTAACAATCAAAAGCGATATGTAAGGTAATTAATAAGCACAAAGTACCTATTACTAGTAGGCGATTCCCAAAACACTGGCATGTACAGGTAGCACCTTAATATAATGATAGAAGCAATGCATGAATAGGGTGGAAAAGGGCTAATCCCTTGGCAGTACCTGCATCTCTAGTAGCTGTATTTTTGTATCAGCAGACTGGATCTGTCTAAGCGCTTCCAAAGGATAATGAACCTGCACTTAGCAAGTAACCAGAGCTTACTTTATTAGATACATCTTATGTAAGTATGCCAAGAGAGGGAAAAATACTGAATCTTAACAATTTAATCCTGTAACACATGAAGTCTTTCAAACAGCCAATCGAATAATTGTACGGTTTCTGAGTAACTTGTACAAACGACGAGACACAGATATGCTATTCTATGAAATTTCAAATCCTAGCTCTATTGACTCAGCAATAAATGAGAAAGGAATTAGTAATGAATAATGACTTCATCCTTTTCTTTCAACTTTCCACTGCAAGTGTTCCTCATTTGGTTGCTCCAAAGAGCAATAGAGTTAGGTTTCCAAATATCACAGGATGGTAAACTGATTAGTACCACAGATTTTTAAGCCAAACATTTACTTGGTCAGTTTAATAGTCCAAATTCTGACCTTTCTTTATTTATTGGCTACAAAAGATAAATGGCAAAATTCTAAATTATTATCTTTTAGCACATACATCATTATGAGGGTTACCATGAGATAATCATCTGGATTGTTGTCAACCACAAATCCATAGAGGTACAGTAGTTCCTGTAAGTACACAAAGTACAACTTCATCAGTAAGGCTATTCTAGTTGTTAAACTATTAAACATGGAACTGCACAAAACAAAACCGTCTTTTCACCTCTAAGTATGATCAGTGTGAAATCTAGAGCAATAATTCAGCATTTGCACTACAAGTAAATCCATAAGGAACTAAGGATATATGAATCCATGTGCCACTCAAATCAAATAACCAGACCCCAGGGATAAAAAAAGCCACATAATCTTCAAGCAGTGCATCCCCCTCATTTGATTTTGTTTCCTTTTAGATTATGCATCGTCAAGACCAGGAAACATTAGATTGTTTTCTGGATTTCTTTGCCAAAATTGTAACTAAGGCCTAGGAATACAGATCTAAAGAAATTTCTTGTAAGGGTTTCTATTGTTCCACAAGAGGCAATCACACAAGTATCATGGTGCCGTATTAGTATACTACAAAAAGTGTGATAGAGAGCCTAAACAAGAATATGTGAGACAAAGAGAGTGATCCAAGTCATACAACGGCAACTATAATAAAAACAGAAAACTAAAATTAAAAAAGAACAAAACATTAGCGGTAAACTAATAACACTAGATCTACACATATTTTTGTGAGTAATACCTCATTTCCTTTGTTGCCATAGTTTATGCAGATCTCTGCTCCAGCCTCAGCAGAACTTTTATCAGCTTCAGAAAGAAACGAATACATACAATTAATCATAACGGGAATAATTATCTTACTGAAAATATTAGCTTAAAGGAAAGCCACAAAGTTCATTTATCATGTGGTGAACTATACAAAAAGAAGGTTGGATCATAGAAGTTACCAAGCAAGAGGTACATTGAAGCAGGAATTCCAGTAACATTGCCCACAGAATCAACTTCCCATGTTGCCAGTGCCTTTACATCTAGTGAATACAATCAAACTAGCTTATAACAGGGAAAGAGTGATGCTAGACTAACAGATACATCATACATGTTTACTTTCTTGTCAAAAAACAGGCAATACTTTGTCAGACTATAGTTGATGAATTAAATAATAGAACCCTTACTATGATTGCAGAAATCAATTCCTGGGACAAGGCCCTCAACCCAAATTGACTCTGTGTTACTTGATTTAGAATTCTCATCAGCACTATGATCCTTAGCTGTAATGTCAATTTCCTGCCAAAAAAAACGAGCAAGTATTTTGGCACAAGAACATATGGATGAAGAAAACCTTAAAATTAATAGTGAAGATGCCAGAAAGCACGAGTAGAAATGATGCCCATGGTATACCAGAGCCTCACGAAGTTTCTTTAACTATTTCTATGTTAGGAAAAGGACACCCACTTGAGCATACAGGTACAATTATGATACCAATCCCCCAAAGTCTGAAATGGCTCGAGACTCAAGATTTGTGACCATGACACAATGTTGAATTCAGTTTCAATTTTTAAAAGTCTGCAACAATCCTGAGGCTCATTTGATGGTGGGGATAGTACATTTACCTACTCCCTCCGTTCCAAATTGTAAGATTTGTGACCATGACACAATGTTGAATTCAGTTTCAATTATGATACCAGTGCTAGGATGAAAGGTTTGAAATTGACCTGTTGGGCAGGGGGGCCAGAATAGCAAGCATCATTGCCGGTTCCGATTTGTTCATCGCCACATGAACCCGGAAAAACATAAGAATGAGGCAGTGGTATGTTCAGTGCTCGAGTCCAGAAGATTGAGTTTGCCCTGTCAAAGACTCATACTGCTGATTAGAAAGAAAATTAGCTGGAGATAATAAAATTGGGATGTCTATATGGCAGTTTCATTAAGCTTTCGATTATGTACACTTGTGGAAAGAATTAGTCCTTGACACCATCACTTTAATCAAGTAAGAATTACAGATTCCTTAACACCGATCAAATTTTCACCATGACCACAGGAAAAGGAAGCAGGTACTCGATACTAGATATTGAAACATGTTAACTTTTTTTGAATGACTAATACAGTAATACCATGTCATGCCTTATTTGGTTCAGCTATTGTTTTTTCGTGTGGCTAACTCATTTATGCACGTGGGCCATACTGAACATCCAATTGCATGGTAGATTTGCAGGTAAAATAGTATAGCTATGCAACACTACTAATCATGGTGAAAATGAACTCCTAATTGTTATACAATTGTAACAGATGATACCTAATTAATCTACACTATCATAAACAAAAAATAACCACAAAAGATTCTTCTGTTTCTTCTTGATTACAACATTTCAGGATTGTCTTCTTCTCTTGATTCTCCAATCCCATGTACTGTTTACAACATTACATTAACACAGCGTTGTCCACAGTCCACATAATGGCATGATCAATCAAGATGGTAAAATGATATCAAGTGAAGTTTACAGTATGTCGTTTCTAACTTTAGTACAAACAAGAGTTATTACATACCAAAGGAAGTCCTCAAACAACACTTCAATTGAGCTGCAAAATAGTTTTGATAGTATTAGCATTTAACGAATGGAAAGTTTCAAGCAGATCAAAAGAAGTACATTTCTCGGCAAACATGCTACAAGCAATGTAATGAATCTTAGTTTCAGAGAGAGAGGCCAGGAGACACCAATTTACTTGAGAGTATGTCATACGTCCGATGGAGGGCCCAGGAGAGGACCCGGCCCACCCAGGCCGGCATCGCAACAAGGCCTCAGGCGCCCTGTCGGGCCCAAAGCAGACCCGGTGTGAACAGTACCCGCGGGTACTGTTTGGCCGCGGTATGTCTCTGCTATCAGGAGATTGATTATATAGGGGTTTGGTTTGTTTAGGAAAGGAAGATCCATATCTATAAGGACTTCCCTCGTTAGATTACTTAGGATACAAGTCTTCCCATGACTATAAGTAGAGGGGATAGAGGACCCGTTTTTGAGGCGAGCGAAGAACTCGTCGTGAAACATCTTCTTCCACTGATCGGTGATTTCGCGGACGTTGTTGCAGACTGTCTCCATGTCGACGATCTTGGTGGTGGTGGCCATCGGATCGATCTGGTCTCCGGATACCAGGTGTAAGGGTCCTCCCGGGGGAGGGGGCTGCGTGCTAGGGCTGGGGGGTAGCGGCGGCTATGGTGGTGACGGCTAGGGTTTGGGGAGAGAAGAGAAGGAGATGGCGCAGGGAGAGAGGGGAGGGAGGCGCTGGAGAGAGGGAGAGGGACAGGGAAGCCCTTAGGCTGTTCTTTCCTGATCGCAATGATTACTGCCCTGTTCGCTTGGCTGATAAGCCATGGCTGAAAGTACTGTTGGCTGATTTGCTGTGAGAGAAAAATAATGTTCGTTGGCTGAAAAAGTACGGCTTATAAGCCAAGCGAACAGGGCGTACATAGCCCCTCTACTTATAGTCCTGGAAAGACTTGTACCCAAGTAATCTAATGAGCAAGTCCTTATAGATATGGATCCTCCTTTCCTAAACAAACCAAACCCCTATCTAATCAATCTCCTGATGGCGGCGCTATACCGCAGGCGAACAGTACACGCGGTGCTACAGTACCCTCGGATACTGTTCGCACCGGGTCTGCTTTGGGCCCCACAGGGCGCCTGAGGCCTTGTCGCGATGCCGGCCTGGGTGGGCCGGGTCCTCTCCTGGGCCCTCCATTGGACGTATGACAGAGTACAATAGAGAGAGAATAATCTTTTTTCTTGCTTAAACATAATACTTTATGTATCAAGAAATAACAATGAACCTTTCAAGAAAAAAGGGCCAGATGGCACTGGCTTTACTTGAGGAGATGGCAGAAGAGAAGTGATATGGAATGAAGTTAATATTTATGTGCTTAAGCATGATGCAACATTCTGTCAGTTTTCAGGCTCCTAACAACTCAATCAATGAGACAAAAACAATGACCGGGCACCTAATAAATAGATATCCATGCACCTAAAAAGCTGAATATCTGACAATATTTTAGAAACGCCTAACTGATAATTTGATGCTAAGCAGAATTAGATGCAATCGCTAGGTCGGTAGGCCCTAGCGCCAGTTCCTTGGTTGCACAAAAACAGGCCAGTATTTGCGCATAAGAAGTGATGCAGCATAAAAGAGTTAGAAGAATCACCAGCATTATTACAGCACAATCAGAGTGAAATTCAAATTTCAACATGAGGCCATGAGAGCATACATAGGTATGTCATTATTTGGGTGATGTAAATTTGTGAATTGATGGGTCTTAAGTACATTTTGAAACAAATATAAAATCATGAGAGATGCAATTAGGTCAATAACATAAGATCTGCAAGTGTAGTAAGGGCTAGCTGCAAAAGGCTATTCAGATCAAAATAGACTCCAAAAGTCAATAAACCATAATGGTAACCACAAACCACACTAGAAGTGAATTTCAAACACCTTATAAACTAAATCCAAACCTTGCTGATTCATCGACATGTAAAAGCTCCTCAACGAGTCCTTTAACCTTCTCATCAAATGAGGATTGCAATGACTTCCTCTGAAACAAAATCCCAAAACGACTGATTGTCTTTACCACCCAAGATCCCCAAGCAGAAGTCTAACAACAACAGTGATGAACCTGGATCACCGTAGCCCGGTGCAGAGTCGTCCCTTCCAGTTCGGCAAGCTCTTCCTCAGTAAACCAAAGGGAGCTCCCGAAGGTGGTCGGAAGCATATCCAAATATCTGCGATTGCAGTGACCCACCACTTCAGCTACGGTTCAAATTATTTCCATGTGCGAGGGGCAAGGGGAATTCGGTTGCAGATTGCGGTCTTACGGCTTCCAGAGTGAGCCAGGGCGTCGGTGCTCGGCCATGAGGAAGAGCATGACGAGGAGGCGGTCGTCGACGCCTCCCTCCTCCTCGAAAAGCGCGCGGCACCGCAGGCCGACGAGTGGGTCCTGCAGCACCCGCATCGGCGTGATGGCGAGGTCGAGCGGCACCACCATCGCCACCCCTGCACCGCACCGGCGCAACGCCCGGATGAGCCTCGTCAATTCTGGGGGAGAGGAGAGAGAGGAGCGTTACCGTCGTTGGCGCCCGGCCTCGGGGCGGCGGTGGAGAAGACGCCAAAGCTCTTGCCGCCGCATGCGCGGATCGTGCAGCCACGGAGGTCGGCGCCGTTGGCCTGCAGCGGAAAGGAGGGTCGGGGTTTAGGGTTTTAAGGGGGAGATTGGACGGGATATGGGAATGGGAGAGGGAGCGACCTGGAGCCATTGGAGGAAGGATTCTAGCTTGACGTCGTCGTCGGCAGCGGCGGCTGCCATGGCAGTGTTCGAGTTCGACGAATTGCGCGAGTGACGTGGAGGTAGCTGCAGAGGGAATTGAGGGGCTGACAGGCAGGTGGGCCTGATTACGATCAAGCCCTTGGGCTGACAGATGGGCCTGATTGCAATTAGGCCCATCCGATCACGCCTACTCTTTAACTATTCAATTACTGGTAGCGTGCCCGTGCGTTGCTATGAGATAACTAACAATTTATACTAAAAACACATGGATCGTACGATAACATAATAATATTATAAAAATTAAATACCAACGTTAAAGTGACATTTAATCCAAAGAGCAAAGTTTATGAATTTTACACAATCACGTAGTGCGCGGCGTCGTAGGCTCACAAACTCTACTTTATAGATCTTTCCGTGATGCGGCTAAGATAATATTTTATATTGGCAGAAAGAAATCTCTGATATCCATTTCTTTCATTGTAATCCATTTATCTGGACAATATTTGAGGTGAGGGCACGGTTACAGTTTTTAGTAGCTTTGCGATATTGTCCGAAGCTATGAGATGACTGATGTCTTGCAATGATCTTTTTATTAATTTAGTTTTTTATCTATGTTTAATTATTTATTCAGTCTATTTTATAGGCACGCCGGTAGATAATGGATGACAAAATTTAAGCATCCATAATTTATCTCTTTGACTTTGAGCATGAGTTTTGTTTTTACTGTAGCGTTAGCACGGGCATGCATGAAAAACGAAGATGTCTTTACACTGCAGAAATCTTTCAAGAAGACCATGCATAGATTATTCTTGTATTGAATATTATATATATACAATCACCTAAATATTCTAATTAAACTACAAAATTTTGAATTAGGATACGAGGTAAGACATGCAAATAGATATTTCAAAACTACCTATAGAGTCCAAAGAACTTAATAAATAAATTCTTTTGGAGGCAATGCAACTTCTCTCTAATCTTTCATTTGGTGTAGTTAGTGTTATCATAGTACCCGCATGTATTCATGGGAAATAAATCGTGGACAAAACATCGACACTTTTTTATGCGACATTTCAACATGGGTCCATCGTCCTGCCAATATCCTTGAGGCAGATCACATAAAGGAAGAGAGTCCCTCTATGAGATTGCTTACAAGAGACTTAAACTTATATTTAATCATGGTAATGTTGAATTGCTTTGCATCAAAAGCATCGGCAATGATAAACGGGGACATAGGTTTTAGTATACATAGTGGAGGAAAACTCAATCTTGGCCTTCTCAACAGCTTTTTCTGAGCCTTTGCAGTGCTAACTGGTCCTTATTCAGATAGTCAAGAGGTGCAAAGAGGTTCCTTTTATCTTAATTCTCTTTCCTTCTGTGTTAATTCTCTTTTCTTTTGCTCGTTGCCATGTATGCTAGTGCATGCAATGTGTATATGGATAGCACAATAATTTTCTACTTTCTATTTTGCCGTGATTCCTCTATCACATGACAAGTAATATTCAATCAAGGAGAATGGCATGATCAATTAGTAATTAAGATTAACCTGTAACATGCGGGAGATGTCGTGGGATCGCAGGCGTGAGCAGACGGACGAACCAAAACAAATGTCGCACCAAAAAATATCCACACTTTGTTCTTTTTAGTTGTATGAGATTTTGGCGACACTCATCTAGCGCACGGCAATCCGGCGCCAGCAGCGCATCCGAACGATCGTTTGTGGAGCCAGGGGTCAGAAGCTAGGACATATGCATATGGGCACTGCAACATATACAACATCCAACTAAAACACTTGCAATATATGTTTCAAATAGTTGAAACATTTAAAACATATATTTGCAACATACGTGTATAGCCAGTACAACATATGCAACATCTAGATACAACACTTGCAACATACGTATGAATATAGTTAAAACGTTTGAAACATGCGTCTGAAACACTTGAAAAAACACACATGATACACTTAAAAACCATTATAACACATACGTAACATCCAGATAAAACACTTGCAACAAATGAGTGAAACATATACAACATCCAGATAAACACACTTGCAATAAACATCTGAAAAACAGATAAACCATTGGGAACAAACGTTTGCAACATACGTGTACAAACATTGTAACATATGCAACATCACAATCTACTTTTGCAATATCTACATGAAACAATTAAAACATACATTTGAAACAACTGAAATACTTGAAACATGGGCTTACAATATGTTAAAAAAACATCCTGAAACACTTGAAAAACACATCATCGCTGCACGACCATAACCTACCTGGTGGGCAACTATGGTGGCGCAGGCTCGCTGGATGGTGCGCGCCGCGCATGCCCCCGCCATGCCCGGCGTCGGTCGAGGGAGAGGAGACGTTGCCAGATCTTGGGAGGGCGCCACCAGCCGGGGTAGGGATGGGTCAGCGGCTTGCTTGAGCCCGGGAGCTAGTGCCTACTCCTATGGGATCTGTAGTGCCTCGCTAAGGCCGCGGCGGGCACGCGCTCGTCGGGGGCCGAGGCAGCGAGCTTTTCCTTGAGTTGAGCGAGGGTCTGCGCCAGTGTGCCCTCCGGGAAGATAGCATGGGGGAGGATGAGCTTGGGATGGGAAGGAGCCCATGCTCGAACGCCTCCCACTGCGGGCAGAGCAGTGCCGTGGGGGACGAGGTGGCGGGGGCCGGCGGCATCACTGGAGCTGGAGACGGGGCCGCGTCCGGCGGCTGGTCCAGGGTCTCATTGGCCATCGCAGCGACGCGAGAGGGGCGTGGTGGAGGGGGAGATCTAGGAGTGTGGTGTGGGAATGGCGAGGGTCGGAGGAAGTGATTCGATGCGTGCCTTCTTTTTCTTCGGCACGATCGCTCGCGACCCAGGTGGGAAAGATGCCCACGTTCTATTATTATCGTTATTTTGGACACATTGAACTCCACGAAAATAATAAGACCCCCTTTGAAACGCATGGATTTTACAAGATTCGTACAAAAGTCAGTTTAATTTTATAAAAATATAAATTTAGAATTTAAGAAAAAAATGTTCAATTCAAAGGGGCCTAAGATGTGCCAAATCAAATCCAAAGGAAGATAGGAAGATCGCTACTGCAAGCGAAACGTAATAGGATTGGATAGTATGGTGATGATAAATAAACACGGTCACTGATCATGACTGTTTTGCTACAAAATAGATAAAGGGACATAGTCACTATCAATAACTAGAAGCATATCTCGCGCGTTGCTTCGGGAATTACAAATTAGTGAATTGTATAGCATGGTGCATAGACAATAAAATGTTATGTGTCTTGCTAATGTGGACATTACAATTGCACGTGCTAGTAGATTTTAATAGTATATTGTCTAGTGGGATAGTTTGCATGTTGGGAGAAATATGGTAGTGGGGTTTGTATTTTATTGTTGTGTAATAGTGCAGTGTCTAGTTGGATAGCTTGTATTTTAAGAGAAATTGTGGAAACTTTACAGTAGCATTGTACTGCATCGTAGAGAAAAGATGACATAGAACGAGAGATACTGAAATCTTGAAATAAAAAATTGATCATTTGAAAAGTACACACGGTTCATTTCAGGAACATAACATCTGGTGACTGCTGATAAATTGACAATTAAAATTGCATATAATACATAAGCATTATTTATGCTAATTAACTATAGAGAGGCGTCCGATCGCTTTTTCAATTAGGGCATCGTGCTCACCTCATACCGCTCGCATACAGCGTCGCCTAGGCATTGAATCCACTGAGGCGGATCGTCTTGTGTGTAAACGCGCGTCCTGTTAGGAGGGAGAGAGCGCATTGCATATGCTGTGAGAAAAGGAGGAGTGGCGGCGCTGGAATGAGGGAGCAGCGCGTGCATACCTCCGACCAAAGACTACCCATCCATCTAACTCATGCCAGTCGAGACTCGAGAGTGGGAGGGAAAGGGAGGCAAGAGGGGGAGAGAAGAGCGCGGCGGCCGCGGCGGACCGGCGGTGCCGCCTGCGACCCTGAGTCCGTGACTCATGTCCCATCAGCGTCCGCGACTTCTGCCCCCGTCCACAACCGCGATTCCCGCCCCGTCCGCGGCCGTGAATCCTACCGCGACTCCAACCCCATCTGCGACTGTCTCCGGGACTTCTTCGCCGCCTCCGGCCCAATCTCCATCACTCGCTCCACTCTGTAGTTATGCCCTCCCCTCTTGGCCTCTCCTTCCTCTGTTCTTCCTCCAATCCTCCACCCCTCTTTCCACTGTGGCTTTGCTTTTCCTCCCCTTCTTTCTCTGCTCTGCTTCTTGCACTCGTGCTCTGCTCTGCTACTTTCTGTTATATTGTGGTGCTATGTAGGAACAAATAGCTTATAGTCAGTGCTCTTTCGCTAGTATATACCTCGTGGTTGCCTAATTGGTTAATTGGTGTGAATATGTGCTTGTATGCATCGAACTTTCTTTGCATAAGAGATGGACAGATGGTTAATTTATTTATCTGTCATTGTGATATGTGCCTCTCTGATTGTGCTGTCCTATGGAAGGTTAGGGTATGTATATAGCGTCGCCTCGCCGCGTGCCTAATCCGCCTAGGCATCTCGAAGGGGGTGGAGCGCCGCACCTCGCTTCACCGCCTTAAAAACTATGCTATAGAGAGAGTAATTTTTAATGATCGGGTATAACTTTGGACGCACACAATCCACACACTCCGCACTCACACCACACATACACACGCTGCGTGCTGCGTATGTACACATGCAAAGAAGAGATTGGGAGGCACGTCGTCTCAATCATGCTGGAAACACGCAGTATGTATGTGTGTGCGTGTACCCTATAATTTTAGAAAATCCCACACAAAAAGTGTGACCACCAGGTTTAAATCCTTGGGAGCAGCGTCTCAGTGGACATCCCTACACTGGACCAAAGGCCCGTTCGTAGAGAGAGTATTAGTACAGGGAAATCGAGCACGGAGCACCTCGACCAGTATGGCTTGCAGGCCCACCTCTCCCGCTTGAAGGGTTCCCACTTCCCAGGCCCAGCACTCTAGCATTTCAGTTCCAGGCCCGCAACTTT